AGGAAATCCTGTATAAGCCCATCAAAAGAGCAAGGATAGCAACAGACTTATGGGAAAGAGGAGGGAGTTCCTTCCTTGAAAACCAGATAAAACACTGCAGGGCAGCGCACTGTGTCAGTCAGCTTTATTGCAAAGTAAGCCCATCCTCCTGAATTCGTTTCTGTTGGGGGGGGGGAGAGAAATAGAGGAAAACAATCCCCAAAAACTTATCTTATTAAAGAGACAAAAGGACTCCTTATCCTAAGTGTGCCCTTAACCTTTGAGACTGTGAAAACCTCAGTTATAGCGCTAACACTGCTGTCTCTTGGGGGCTCACGCACGTATGAATGCACGTGGAAATGGAGCAGCAGCAAACTCAGCCCCTCCAGATCAGTCTTCTCCTTTAGAGCAGAAGGGACTGCTTTAGGAAAGAATCCAGAGCAAGAAACAAACTTAAGCAGGTCACATTTCTTGGCTATTTAAACCCTTTATTACTCCCTTTTTGGTGCTATATTTGGAACAGAACAGTTGTAGAATTGTTCCTAGGTCTACTACAGATGGGAGCACTTCCCTTTTTGTACTCTACAGCTGATGTTTTCCCCATTTTGAGGGGGAATATAGAGTATTTGCATTTATTCTTAACAAAGAAACATCCCTTCAAGCCGCTCACTAGGAAGCGTCTTTGTATTCCGGAAGACATAGTACTGACACTGAAAAAACCACAACACGACATAGTATTTTTCAGAATTCATAGCAACACATACCAAACACAGCTCCTACTGCTACTTCCAGCCACCCCAGCAAGGAAGACTGTCAGGCAGATACCAGCTTCAGCAACACCTTCTCTTTGCTTTTTATGGATTTCACAAACAAGCTTAGCATTCCCAGAAAATGTGTGCATGAATAATTCAGCACGGGTAATGATGGAGCCCTCGGGAGACAGGACAAAGCAGCACAACCTGAATTCCTTCAGTTCACCTTGACAGATTCAAGTCCATCTTCGTCACAACTGAGAGAAGCGTGTTCTCATGCAGCACATCTGCCCTGCTTCATGCAAAACAACACTTATTTATTCAGCTCAAGTGCCTGACAAGCTCAGAGGCAGAACAATCTTGGTTTATTTGCGAGACTCCCGCTTCCTTTCCATCCATGAAAGCCAAGAAACATCATAATATTTTTATCGCTCAACCTACTCCACAGATGTATCAACAGGGTTTAGCTACCCTAAGGGGGATTCAAGTGAAGCAGTTCTCATAACTCATCTCTCTCCACAGGGAAAACGCCAGCCACTGCAGAACATTCATCCCCCATCTTCAGTCTACTCTCAGCTTGGAAGCGCTAGAGAACGAAACACTACCAAAACTTATTCTGAAGCACCTGCCTTTACGGAGGTTAAGCGCAAAACAATGCGATGCAGATCTCTATCCCTGGAGGAAAAATGGACCTTGAAGCTCAGAAAAGCTATTCAGTGCAAAGTCTCTGGGGATGCATGGGGAAACTAAACACAAATGTCACTTGCACTTGATCACATCTGCTTCCCCACTGCCATGATAATGCCATTCATAAGGCCAACTCAAACAAGATGCCCAATTTCTGGCAGCGCTGTTCAACAAAGGCTTAGTCTAAAAATAGATTCTTCCCTTTTTCTTGTTTTTGCTTTAGATAATTTGGCATTAACAAAGGCTTGACAAGAAGTGGCACCACATTCTGGATGCTGAGGTCCTGGGATGAGTGTGTCCGAAAGATGATAGGCACTTCTAATTCAGAGATACACTGAAGACAACAACCTAAATTACAAATGAAACCACAACTGCATATGCTTTTCATTTAAGCACCAACAAGTGAGTGAGTGTGTGTGTGTGTGTGTACATATTTGTGTATATATATGTACATATACACACACATATGTATCGTATGGTGCCGAGCAGGGAACCCAAAGTTCAAAGCAGAGAGCTCAAGCAGAGGTAAAGCTAGATGTCATTACATGAAGTTGGACGCAAGCAAGATCACGCCATTCCGAGCCTTTCCACCGCTCTATTTAGAGGCTTGACAGACATAGCCTTTTGGAAAACTTTAATATCGTTCTAATCCCAAAACCAAAAGTTCGCAAAATGCAGCTTCTAACACATTTTCATAGATGCCACATCACTCCATCTTTTTGTTCCTTTCTCCAGCACTGCAAGCAGCTCTTCATTTTACCAAAATCCTATTCAAATAAAAGCAGACAGAAAAATCCAATACGTCCCCTTTATTCATTTAAAAAAAACACAGAAGAAAAGTAATAGGGAAAGTTTTAGCAATAAAAAAGGGATCCTGCTTAAAAACGTACAGAACTTGTCTAGCAACATAAACTGATTTCTTTGGGTTAGAGATGACCCCATACAAAACCCCAGATTCAGAACACTCACAGTGCAGGGAAGTCTGGCTACAGACCACTTTTCTACTTTAGGCTAAACAGCTCCCTTAGATTCAGGTATCCCATGGCCACCAACTTTGACATAAGTAGAATACGTAGCCCTCACAGTAGTCTTCTCCTTAAATGGTAACGGGTATGTTTTAGCTTTCAGACAGAAGAACACCCTGGGCCATGTTAGAAAGAACTCTAGGGTCACAGAGACTTATGGCTGACTCTTTAGAGCAAACTTGGAGCAGACTGCACAGCAGTTATACAAGCAGTTAAGAAAAAATCTCTTATTTGGCATTTCTCTATCAATAGCTCTTGAACTGGTGATGTGAAGGTCATTCACCATTAAGCAGATATAACATACGCCAATGGGTTCTGCTTGGCTGAGATGAAAGGCTTTCATGCTCCTGAATATAAAGCAATGAACAGTGTTTCCAGCTGTCCCTGAAAGGCCTCATCCTCTTCCCATTACGAAACTTGGCTCTTCAGCGTCATCTTCCTTCTCTTCCTCCTCCTTGCTATCTTCATCATCCTCGCTGCTTGCTTGCTCTTGAGATTGATCAGATTCTAAAAACACAAACAGTATGAACAGATAACATAGTCCCACGTGTCTTCCTTGTAGTTCACAACAAAACAGTCTCAGGTGCTAGGCAAACATATACTAGGTCATACTAATTAGTACGAATTGATAACATATTCCCTCGTGTTTTCCTTGTTAAGTATCTCACAACAAAATAGTCCATGTACTAAGTAAATGCATATTAGGTCATAATAATCCTAACAAGCGATACTGAACTCAGAGTATCAAATTCTCCCTCAGAGAAATATTCCCTTGCCTCCGCTATTCAAACTATACTACCACCATGCCTAGTTCACCATTAAACTCCACCCCCTTATTGAATACTATTTTAGACAGAGGTACTCAACCACTAAAGCGATAGATTATCACCTTCCCAATCTCACCTCTGCATGAACTTTCAAATAGCATAAGGTATCATCAACGAAGGCAGGCACTGGGGAGCCACGTGCCAGGCTCAGCACATTTCAATGCCCATCCAAGCTTACAGAAACTCCATAAGGTGCCAAGATCTTTTACAGATTGTTCAGTCTGCTACAAGTACAGGAACTCTAAGATGTGTCACATTAATTAGGTTCAAAGAAAACTCATCAAGTCTTAGCCTGCTAAAACACCAGAAGAGAAAACACCTACTAGTAACCAAATACCGGATAATGGAAATTAGGCACTGCATAAAGTGGGACCGGGATCTAATAGCCGTTCTACTGTTGCTGGGAGCTCTTGTATCGTTATTAATCATTTCCCAGAACAAGTCCTGCTCAGCTCAGGCTCTGAACGTTTATACTTCGCATTTAGGATTAGTTGTCTGACGCCACCACACGGTGAAGTTTTGTACTGTCATTTTATATTAGAGGTCTTTAAAATAATGCAACTTAACAGCTGATGTTACGAATAAAGTGTGGCATTAAAACAATGTTTTTACCACAACAAAGGTGAAAGATGGCAAATTAGACTGAGGATCTATTTATTTATTCAAAAAAAGAAGATAAACGCTTGCCTGCCATCCAACAAACACACTTCAACTACTTTGGAAGAACTGTCAGATCTCAACTTGAGGTCCACAAAACCAGAAAAAAGAAAGAAGACTACTTTCAGTAGACTAAAAACGGCTATCAGTGGCCTGTATCTCCATAGTTTCGGGTTTTTCTTTGTTTATTTTTAAATAGAGAACTACCAATTCTGACAAGCTAAACACTCTTCTAAAGGCAGAGGAGTTTGGATTCTGGCTTCCAAAAGATGCTTTGTTTGTGCCAAATAAACATTCCAGCTCAACAACGTGTATAAGGCAGTCCCATACCAAAGTGCCAGTCTCTGAGCCAACTCCCCTTTCTCCCAGCCACACTTTAAAGAGATAGGTATTTTGTTAAGATTCATACTTAAATTCTCCTCCCAGTCACAATTCATAAACTCTTAGCTTTTAAAAAAAGATGATGTGCTACAATCACTTCCTGTCACAAGTACAATTAACTCAAGGATTGGTTCAATTCAAATATATTTAACAGCTCATCATTCCAGCAGAATTATCAGGACCTGTTGTAACTCTGAGACTAAGAATTACTGTGCAGTTAGCGTGCTAATCCACAAAAGGACAACTATTTGTGAGAGTAAACTAAAGAGCGCTCACTCAAAGGAAAAAAAAAAAGTATTCAGTTTGAATAAAATACTGACGTTACTGAACGCTAAATTTCAAGACTATAGGAGAACAGAGGTACTCAGATTTTTCTTGTTTACTTCTATGTAAAATAGTATAGTTGTGTAGAACAGATGGCACCAGGGCGGCTCAATTTCTTGCACACAAAATCGTAAGTCAGTTTCTTGCTGTCCAAGCTGTGCATTTTTGTGTAGTGTGTTTTGTTACTCTCACTGTGGTTCTTGTTTTCCCATATGCATTCAAAATATACATAAAAAAGAACAGGCTTTAACAATACGGCCTTTTTAAGAATAACACGTTCTAAACTTGCAGTTTGTCAGAATAGCTGGAGCAAAACATCCAGTCAATAAACTCAAGATTACAATGTTAGCTGTCCAAAATTTCCCCAATAAAGGGAGAATACTCATAAACAGCCAAGTTATTTGTAAAATTGAATCTCAATTTAAAGGACTTTCGGAGAGAACTTTTGAAATATTAGCTAAAGTATCAAGGTTAATGTCCAGTCTTCCTATCCATCTACCAGGAATAGTCGGGGTGGGGGGGTGTGGAGGATGGAACAAACCCTTCTAGACTTAAGTGAAAGAGCAGAACTAAGTCTCGAGAGAAGACTAAATTTCACTGACCTTTTTCCTGCTTCTTTTGTTCAAGTTTATTTTTCTTAGCTTGCAGTTTCTTCTCTTTTAACTTCTGACTATAAAGAAAAAAAAGCCTCTTAGGCAAATTCAACATTTTAATGCTTCTGCACATTCTAATCACATATTGCTAAAGGTCATATTGTAGGCATTTTGGAAAAAACAGACTTAAAAGAAGTTCAAATTAAATCTGACCTCCACTGAAAATTCAGCGAGAACAAGCTTAGACACAAGATCAACAGAAACTTTTACATGTTGTTCTTATTCCAATGGAAACTTCTTCTAAAGTCTATTCCCTGATGGTCTACAGCCAAAACTATGCAATACACAAGAAACTCCAGAAACAAGAATGAACCTGACCCTATCTTTTAACTACCCAACCTAATAAGAAAAAGGAAATGGTGGCAAAAATCCAGACTGCCAAAATCGAACACTGAAGAAAAAAATTAAGTTATCACCAGTAACCTATGCTTTAATTGAAAAAACAATGCATTGTGCATTGATTTTCCTTAATCTACATGCTGGGCCCAGTGGGTAACATTAGGGATAAGGGGTAATCTCAGTTCCTATGACCGGTTCTGTTTGCCTAGGAAAGGCAACAAGGCAGGCCAACTGCAGGCACAGGGCAGAGCCACATAGGGGTCGCGTTCCTCTCTCAACGCCATGAGTGAAACAGAGAGCCAGCTACCCTACCATGTTACTTGGGACTGAAGAGAAAGGGTGGTGACGGAGGTTAGAGAGGCTCCCACTGGTCGCAGCCACTTGGTACCATTAGGCTACTCCTCAGAAGCAGTGTGGGAAAGGAGGAGTTAAACTGTTCAGGCGGCATTCGCTGCGTGAACAGTTGTTCTCTGTCTCAGCCAGGGAAGAGGCAGCAGGCCAGATCTGACTCGCTGGCCATCTGTTGGACCACACTAAACTAAAGTAAAATGGCAACAATGTTTTTGTTGTGCAGGTTTGTGATAGCATGCCATTGAGTCACTCTGCACAGGCCTTTCAGAAGAAACTTTCAGCTACAAGATGTGAAACCCTGACTTTCAAAGCTACCCTGGGTCAGCCCCTCTGAAAGAGCCAAGCCCTGATACCGTGCTATTTCTAAAAGTTAGGATTGGCACAGAGCATGGAATTTAACTCTATTACAATTCTCAGACCACTTCTTGAGAGCATCAGTCTTTGTAACTGCTGTTTCACTTTGGCTAAAACATGAGTGAAGCATTTTATATTTCTTAATGTTTCCATGGAATTTAGTAGACCTGACCTGCCAGACGTATCACTGAGATGGGTAGAAGCAGCTACTGATGTTAACAATACTGCACCCATCAACGGCCTTTTGAGTATTCACAGACAAATCGTGGACTGGACTAGTCATACTGATGTACAGAGGATAGCATCCTGCGAGCTCTGCTAGCACAAACTTGTATGTGCACCCATGATGCAACAACCATTTTTACACTTAAACTTCTCGATGTCAGATGTTACAGACATTTCTTTAAGCCAGATGTACATACAAAGGGTTCCTGGCACTGCTACAACAGATACGCAGTAAGGTGTGTTGCAGCCTACACCAGTGTCAGTAAGAAACACTTTCATAGTCAAAGTTATCCTGCTAGAAATGGCACTGAAAATAAATCACCCCAACAAAACCTGTCAAGCTCACAGCTGCCTTTAGGAGCCAAATAATGACATTAATAAAATTGATTTCCACAGCCAGACTTCTCAGCTGATAGATGTGGACACAGAACGATAGTATTCTTCCAAAGTACACAGCTACAGATGAGGCACACATCAGGAGGGTTTCCGTGTCAAGCCTCCTGGGAACAATCTGCCCTTACCGCTTCCTTCTGCGTTTTGCTGTTTGTTCTTCCGCAATCATCTTATTCCTCTCCAGTTTCTTCTGGAATTCCTCATCTAGTTTTTGCTGTAATTGATCACACGTTACACTTTGGTCACAACCTAAATTAAAGTACTTCTTTCCAAAGTATGTCCTTTTAGGGAGAAGTCTTTTAGCAAAATACAGAAGGGAGCTTTGCCAGATTTTGTCTGGCTTCTTTTTTAATACTAAAGCCAGGCTCCTATGGATGACTTCTATATAGATAGCATTTTTTACCTGCAGCCTGGGCCAAACATTCAAGCCTTAAGAGTGAGGAATCCTCACCAAAACAAATGAGGGACTTTGGGCTTCTGCCCTAAAGAATACTCAAATAAAAAAGATAGAGTAATTTGAGTAAAAGCAATAAAATAATTTGAAAGACATAAACATTAACACATGAATCAAAGGACTCATCTTGGCCAAGACAGGGGTATAACAGTAACCATCTCTGAAAGAGATGCTATTCTACTACCGGACTAAAACTTAGAGAGACCCGAAGTCTGTGCATATGCACTTGCTTTGACTCCGTCTATGCCGAATAAGCGATATTTGGGATTTCCTTTCATTATTAGAGTCATTTCTGCTGGTTTTTAAAGCATTTCTAATCCAGTATGAGAACAAAAACATTCTTGTGCTGTCTTACTGTGCCTTAGCTAGGGCCACCACTGAACAGAGAAGATGGAGCGTGCCTGATCCACAGCACTGACTGTTTCAGTGCTGACAAAGACACTACGTATCACATATTCCTACACTGTTTACCTTTGATAAGAGGTGGCTTGGAACTGAATTCTATGCACATGATTTTAAAAGGAAAAAAAAAAAAAAAGGAGTAATGAATATCAAATAGCCAGAAAAACAATTATAAGAGTATTGCTGACCTTCTCAGCCATGGCATCCATGAAATCTTGCCTCTGGTACTCTCGCCGACGAAGATGCCGGTACACATGAAACTCCCCACTGCCAGCTCCAGCACTGGAACCTACAATAAAAAAGGGTTAGTCTGCTAGAAAATAATTCATACTAGATGCTCATAGATGGCTAGGTGCTAAGGGCAGGACAAACTAAAGGGCACTGCAAGATGAAAATCTACTGAGAACAGCTAACAGCATGCAGAGCATGTCACCAGTTTTTAATAAGCTCAAATCACTCACAGTCAGAAGCCAAAGTGAGCTGCAAAACCACATGCTTATGGTTCACTACAGTTTCTACTGGTCAACACAAATATCAAAACGTCCACTACTTCCTTAAGAATTCAGACTTTGCAGAACATCCAGACAGTAAAAGAACCACAGAAATCAAGCTCATGTCCCATTTCCTTCTAGATAGAGGCCAACTAAAACATCCAACTGAGGCTGTTTCTCACCTATTTTCAGCATCTCATAAAAATGAAGGTCAACAGAAAGGTGAGAAAACCTGTCATATTACATTTTCCCATGCAAGACGAACACCACTGACAGTTTTTGTCCATTGGAAAAAAAAAAAAAAATCCCTACAGCTGTCTCTTCTTGGCCTTAATCTGCATGTTAGTCTCACAGGAACTTTTCACATAACACTATACTCCATCTCCTCCCTGTCTCCCAAGCCATTTTTCAATGCAAAGCACAGACGTGTGCAAATATATGCTTAAAAAAAGACACCTAGTTCTTAAAGCACAGAAACTAGGACTGCAACAGGGGTGCTCTTGACTACCAATAGAGTCCGAGCGCATCAAGTGTTCCCAGATAAACAAGCCGGTCCCACTCCAGCATATGGCAAAGCTATTTGGAAATGCCACAAGGGAACTAAAATAAGCAGAACATTTTATTCTGCCTCTAAAACGAATTGTTAATAAGGATAAAAGTCCCAAATAAAGAGGGAACTTGCACATGCAGATACAATTTATACCACAAATTGTAAACTCAGTCCAAACAACCTTGACCCCATAGATAAAACGTTAAGTGTCACCAGAACACTTAGGTTGGGTTCCCTGCGTGACCATAGACAAACACGTACGAGTTTGTTTCTCAGTGACTCAGATTCAGACACAAAGCAATCAAAGGAGGAATTTCATAATTTTAAGTCTTCAGAGTACTCACTGAACTATGGAAAGGACAGATTTACTTATGCCTTGTCATCAATAAAACCAGCTTATTTCCTTGCACACAGTCAGGCGCACACTGCACACGGCAGAGTGCCTTAGGCACTGTTCGCTCTGCATTCCGACAACAAGCAGAATCGAACCCCAAGAACAAAGAAAACTTTAAAAATCAACTCTAAAAGCACATTTCACACCCCTTTTCTCCAGAAAAATGAGCAACAATAGAGAACAGCCTCTACCTCTTCTGTTACTTTTCTAAGCTTACTGCAGTTGGTCATACAGTTATCTTTAACAGTATCTTTACCCATCACATCTCTAACAAACTCCGGGGGAGGTCGTGGGGCCCACTCATTCAGTTTTTCAGGAATTGGTACAGTCTTTTCCTGCAAGAACAAACCAAGCAGTCATTAGTATCTTCTCAGAGCAAAGCCTGCAACTTTAACATATTGTTGAAAGGTAGTGTACGTGTGACAACAGACTCTTCCCCCAGCTGACAGATCTCAGAAGGAGCAGAGTTGTAGTAAGTTCTTCACACGCAGGGATCAGGAGCACGCAGGAAACAACAGCCACAAGGAATCCTCCCCCCCCACCCCTCCCCATTTCAGCCCTGCAGGTCAACAAACCCTAGGAAGATTACAAGGGTCCGCACTTCTTTTCAGTACGGCAATTGGAGGAGGTAAGTTAGTACCCCCGTGTACTTGTGGAAAGTGGCTCTGTTCCCACTAAAAGCAGTCGGGAAAAAGAGGAAAGGCATTTGTGCACCTTTCATCTCAGCTAAGATGAGGGAGGGCAGGGAAGGCAGGGAACGCTTGGCGCAAGGTCAGAGGAAGAGGGGAGGGCGGGAGGAAGGCTCCGCACACGGATGGGAGGCTGAGCCCCATCCGGCACGCAGCTCCCCTCCGGACAAGGGTCAGAGCCTCCAGGCGGAGGAATCGGGGTCCAGCCCCATGTGTCACCGTCCCCGTTTCTCACCTGCCCCCGACTCCCATTAAAAGCATATGTCAGGAGAGCGAGCAGAGGGAGCCCTGAGGGCGCAGGGGGCCCCTCCGCCCCCGGCCCCAGAGAGGGGTCTCTCCCCTCCGCAGCACGGGGCAAGGAGCCCTTGGTCCGGCTGCACGTGGGGACCAGCGCTGCCGCCCC